AAAAGACAAAAAGAATGTTCTTCCGGATCAGCAAGCATTCTGGATGTGAGAGTCACTCAGGAATGTGTTCCTCCTCAAGATTTTATTCCTCTTTTCTCTTCAGCCCCGAACAGGTTCCAAAGCATTATTCAGTTTGGAACCAAAATACTTCGGAATATGTACTTGGGATTGCTAAATGTTCACTTTCAGGTTCCAACAAATATTAGATTTGATTAAAAGTTGAAGATAGGACACCACAAGTTCATACTTCTCCTTGTTTCTAACCAGAATATTGTATATCACAATCTAGTCATGGGGATTCAAAAAGGCTGGTATGTGAGAGTGAATTCATAAGCTTGAGATGCTAATCCTCTCGCAACATTAAAGCTCGTATTCGGGAAGCTTTCGGTTTCGATCGGCCCAGTGACCCTCACAGTGATAATATTCCTCGCACTCCAAGTCTCGTACTAAGGCTTCATGTGTTTCAAGTACAAAGCAAACAACATTTGATCCGCAGTGCTGTCTGAGAAGGGTACGTTTGCAATTTTGATAGAAGCCCAAAACCTGAATGCAGTTGGTGTGATAGGTAGGTCCAATTGCGAATCCTGTGTGTTTTGGATTTCAAAAGAATCAATTCGATCCAACCAAAACTTTCTCGGCATATCCACAACTTGTTTTTGCATTCTCTTTAGGGACCACTTGGGAAATAAAAGCATTTTCCTCTTAAGAGTGGCCTGAGCTTCCTTATCTGCTTTTTCTTTTTCCTCAGTCTCTTTGATAATGCGAGCATGTTCATCAATCTCTGCATCGCAAGCCTTCTACCTTTTGAGTTCAGCTTCATTAGGCTCTTCAGTAGACATACATTCTTTCTTCTTTGGTTCTTGTTAGATGACAAGAGGTATAACTGGAACTTTGGAGGGAACATTCATTTGATCCTGCGAGCTACCCTCTTTCCCTTTCTTAGGAACAAACAGTGGTTGCGAAACACCCTCCAGATGGTGCAACATTGCAAACACCGATCGTAGCTTGTCAACTAAATGCTTCTTGACTATGATGAAGATCATTGGATCACGAGTCTCAATAATATCATAGAGTAGTCCAGTTACATTAAAGATACAACTGCGAGTGACTGTCTTCTCTGCTAGGAAATCATCAACCTGTTTATTAGCAAATTGAAGCTTCATTTCCAACACTTTGCACTTTTCTTCCTTGAGGGTAAGATCATCCATGATCTTATTTTCGGCTGCAAGATCTGCCTGAAGCTTTGTGATTTTCTCAGTGATAGAAGACTGAAATGCTTAATGATCGGACTTAAGTGCCTTGCGAAGCTCAACAAAGTTCACATTTTCATTTTGGAATAAAAGACCAACGTTCTGAATTGCCTTGTTCGCAGCTACAGTGTTGGAGTTATAAGTAGTCTTGTAATCCTCCATGAATTCCATTGTATCTACAATTAGTTTATCAGTTTTTTCGGTCGTTGCCTTGGAGACATCACTAGAATCTGAAACTGCCTTCGATAAAGTGGGGTCATTGGCAAAGTGTTCCTTTGTTACCCGCTCCAAGATTGATTCAACAGTAGATTTGGTGCAAGCTGCAGAGGTGGAGGCTGTGGATGCGAGAAGTAGTTGATCAATCTTCTCATGAAGAGATTTGAGTTCCCTGTATGTAGTAGAGACTTTATCTTCACTATCAATCCGTATTTGAAAAGGACTATAATCGAATCCTTCCGAATCATCATCTTCATCATCTCTTAAAAGCATTTCAGAGTCATCTGTGCGAATGGGAGAAATGGGTTGGGTAACATTGGTTGAACAACTTGAAGTCGGAGCCCCCGTATTAGATATGTTGACTGAACTTATAAGGGTAGTTAAGGTGTGGTGTAAGATGGTGGATTCGGTTAAAATACGAATAGAGATTGGAACAGATGTGGATAGTTGAGATGATACTGGTGGTTGTACAGGTGCGATGGTAATAGGAATAGAAGCAGTTGATTTAGGTGATGGATGTGGAGAAGGAACAATATCATTTAGTGTTGGAGTTACCTCATGAATTGGAGATGCAACTTTAGAGTGAACAAGTGGTTCGTTGTGAACTTATTGTTCTTCGTTGATGCGAATAGTTTTGTGTTCCTCAGTGCGAATGGGCTCATCATCTTTATTTTGAACAGTGGGGTCTTGAGTAATACGAATATCCGACTTAGTTTGGGAGTCAGAACCTTCGTCTTGACTATTAGATGGAGAAGGAGTGGGAGACTTTCATTTCCTTGCGGGTTGTTTCCTTCATTTTGGGGAAGTAGTTGAAGCAGCAAGAGCCTTTCTCTTCTTAGAAGGAGATTTCGGGGTCTCAGAGGGTCCTTCTTTCATAGTGTCTTTCTTAGGTGCTTTCTTTGACCCTCTGAACCCTTTCTTGGCTTTTTCTACCTCAGCCAAAATCAGTTGAAATGCATCTGATAGTGGACGAGGACCAAAAGGAGTAAGAGCAAGATGCCCTTCTAGAATTTTAATTCATGGAGGAACATCACAAAACATAACCTCTAGAATCGAGCCAATGAAGGAAAACTTCGACTGATCCACTACAATAATGTTTTTTGTATGGAGGGTTGCGATAGAAGCCAACAATGTATAAAAAATTATCGAAATCTTGAGCTGCTTGATTGCCCTGTTGATGACAATGGTACAGAATCTCGCATAGGAGATCTCAATGTGACGAGCAATAGAGTGATTACTATGGATAAGTTGAGCCCAGAGGATAGAACCATAGTCAACATTTGAACCTGTGTAAAGGCCATACATCATACCCATGAACATTTTGCTTGCGTAGTCATTACCAGTGACTCTTTCAGAAAAGGATTTGAACAGGATGGTGAAGAGGGCATTCAAGGTGGGTGGAAGATTGGATTTCTTGAACTTAGAAACCGCAGTGAGAGTTTCCTTGTACCCCATTTGGTAGAACATCTCTAAGATTGCAGCATTGGAGATGGTTTCAGGGTAGATCATGTTGTCAGATAGAGGAAACGCTAATAGATTTCAAAATCGGGCTTTGGAGATTGATGTGGTGTGGTTGTGAGTAAATCCTCTGCTCTTCCTTGACATAGTTGGTTGTGGTGTAAGCTTTGAAGAGAATCAATATAGGAACATTCTAAACTTGAGACAAGGAAATGGTGAGAGGGGAGTATTTCAAGCACTCAATCAGAGGTAGAAGAAAGGGATCATATTGAACTGGATCAAGTTCGATAATGAGGTTTTGATGTTTCTTAAAGACCAGAAGAGATGAATGAGTAGTCTGATCTTGAACTGAAAGATTCTCTAAAGAAGACGCCATGGACGAAGCTTGAAGAAGACGATGAACAGTTGAGAGCTTTATGATTGCCAGATATCGTGTATAGTATTTGAAAAGGGTAAAGAGATATGGAACCATCAAAACCCTTATATACGATTTGATTTGGTGAGTAAATTACCGAGAGAGATTGTCTTGAAAAATGTATCATCGCTTGTAAAAGTACAAATTGACAACTGTGATGAGTCAGAAGCATGCGTCACACGACGTATTGTTAACTGTCCGTTCAACTTTTCACGCGCCCATTTTAATTCTTATCTTTTAAAATTTTTCACATCATCTCATCGCCTTTCAAAGTAAAGAATGCACATCAAATACAACTGCGAACCTGAAAGTTGGAAATAACCATGAGCTAGACTTTGGAAGATCATTAAGATCTTCGTGCAAGACTGTGAAATGAAAAAGAAATAAAACAATGTTTATCTGGGAATGTTGTGATGTCTAATTAAGGACATAAACATATGGATCCCAAGCAAAGATATCTTCCTTCATAATCAAGAGAGGCTAAGAAGTGTCTGTGTGGTTTCCTGTTGAATACAATAAAATGTTTGATGAGAAACGTTGAAAGGAATCTTTTATTAAGGCTTATAAAGGTGGTTCATCCTTCATCGAAACTATGAACTTGATATAAGTGAAAAAGTAGGAGGAGGTACTCGTGTGACTAGTGTAGTCAGTTGAATGAGTAGGTTTGGAACATATGCGAGTGACTTGGACAAATATTGAAATCTCAAAAAAAAAAAAAATTAAACACTATATCCATTGGAAGAAATGTTTTGGGACGCGAACACTTCATTAGGATCTTAAAAGAAAAGAGATTTATTGGTATTGACCATGAATGTCGACTTTCGTTAATTCTTGGGTGAAAGTAATAGAACATTTTATTGTTCACCATCAATTCATATAAGGTGTCGAATTTTGGGTTTCACTCAGTTCATGGTAGAATGAAACTAAGATCATGAACACAAATCTTTGTGTAACCATAATCCTCAGTGGTAATTTTTGAGAGTCTAAAGGGTTACATTAGTTGATGAGAGAGCAATGGAGAAGAAGGTAGGTGGCTACAAGAAAGTGTAAGTACCTCTAGAATGCAAAAATGACCATACAAACAACTCTTAACTCAATTTGAGAAGAGTAAGGTAGCTCATGACTGATGTGAATTCATAGCCTGATTTGGAATAATTGATTAGTGGTATCAACTCATTAAGGCTTCACAGTCAAGTCGTTGAGGCTTAGGTCAACATGCAGCATCATGTTTCTAGGGACACTTAGCTAATACATAAGTAAAGAGATTTATACCTGCCCCATCACTCAAGTTGATAAATGTTGCAAACACCTACACCAATGATATTGGTGTGAATCTATATAAAAAGGAACTAAAAATAGACAAACAAATTTTATTATTTTTTTATTATTATTTTTTTATTTTTTTTATTAATCAAACAATAAAACATGTAAAGATATACAAACTATTTAAAAGGATATAGGAAATACTAAACCACAGATGAACAGTCCCTTGCAAACCTCTGCGAATGTTCACATTGATTCGCATCCATATAACAGTCCCTTGCAAACCTCTGCGAATGTTCACATTGACTGGGAAGCCCTGCGAACATTCACACCAGTTCGCAGTGAAAATTTTTATGAGTGCAAAAATGGTTTTGGTACAGAATCAGCTTCCATCATTCCTCGCCCTTGAAGGATTCTATTAAATGTAGCTTCAGGTAGAGGCTTGGTAAAAATGTCAGCCAATTGATCAGTGGATCTTACGAAATGAATCTCTACATTGCTATCTTCCACATGATCCTTGATAAAGTGATACCTCAGTGCTATGTGTTTTGTCTTTGAATGTCGCACTGGGTTGTGACAAATACGAATGGAACTTTTGGAGTCACAATAGAGATTAATTGTTTTCATGGTTAAGCCATAGTTACGAAGCTGGCTTTGAATCTAAATGACTTGTGATGTATAGGAAACTGCAGCTATGTATTCAACCTCAGCTGTTGACAATGAAACACATGTTTATTTCTTTGATTGCCAACTCACCATCTTGCCATCAAGAAATTGGCATCCACTAGTGGTGTTTTTTCTATCCAAACCATAGCTGCCTAAGTCAGCATCTGAAAATGCTTGTACAAAGAAACCTGAGTTCGCAGGATACCAAATTCCAAGAGAAGACGTTCATTTATATACTAGAAGAAATTCTTGATAACTACCATATGAGGTTCGCGTGGGTTGGCTTGGAACCTAGGACAGTAACAAGTTGAAAACATAATATATGGTCTACTATACATGAGTGAACCTATCATCTGATGATTAAAGGTCATTCATCAGCAGGTTTATCTAGCGAAGGAGTCAGTTTGGTTCTGCATGCCATTGGAACTTTCGCCTTTTAGTCTCCTATCATTCTAACCATAACAAGTAGGGTCTTCATGTAATCCTCCTGATTGATGAAAATTCTTCCAGTCCCTGTATTATGTTTAATCCAAGAAATAAGTTAATTGGACCCATTGAGCTCATTTCAAACTTAGTTTCCATCAACTTTTTGAACTCAACTGTTAGGCTGGGAATAGTGAATCCGAAGATGATGCCATCAGCATAAATTTGTACGATCATCAAGTGGTCACCCACTTTCTTGCCAAAGAAGGTTAGGTCAATCGAACCTTGCTTTAATTTTTACATTTTAAGAAAACGAGATATTGTTTCATACCAGGCACATGGAGCTTGTTTTAGACCGTAAAACGCTTTGTCAAGAATGTGGCAGTGGTTGGGTTATTTTTCCTTTACAAACCCAGGTGGTTGCTCCACATAGACAGTCTCTTCTAGTTCACCATTTAAGAATGGGCACTTCACATCCATTTGAAAGACTTCAAAATTTTTGTGAGCTGCATATGCCAAGAAGATGCGAACAGATTCCAACCTAGCAACATGTGTGAAAATTTCTTTGTAGTCAATGCCTTTTTCGTGGGAGTAACCTTTGACCACAAGCCTCGCTTTGTTTCTGATGACATTTCCTTCTTTGTCCACTTTATTCTGAAACACCCACTTTAATCGAAAAACCGATGCATCTGGAGGAGTTGGAATCAGTCTCCAAACTTTGTTTCTTTCAAACTCGTTGAGTTTATCTTGCATCGCTTGCACCCAATCAGAATGATCGAGAGCACTGTTGACGGTTTTGGGTTCAATCTTGGACATGAAAGAATTAAACATACAAAATTAAACTTTGGAGAATAATGTAGTTTGCTTCATTTCAGTTGAGAATGGGTAAGAACTCCTGCAGTGGATTCACCAATAACTTGAGCTTTTGGGTGATCTCTTGTCCATTTGGTCATGGGAGGATAATTTGGATCTAAGGATACATTTAGCTTAGCATTTACTTCCTTGAATTCAGATAGAACTGATTGAGTGTCCGAATCATCATTTGTTTCTTTATTCTCCCCCTTGAATGATGCGAACTTGTTGTCCTCAGGAACTGAATCACTGCATGCGAATGGAGTTTCGTGGTTCTTAGTTGGTTGGGAAAAGTCACCATCAAAAGGATGCTGCTCATAAGAAATGGGTGATATAAAACTCTCCCCCTGGAATTGTGTGTTAGACCCAAAATTCTCCCCTTGGAAAGTAGAGTACATGTCTTGAGGTTCTTTCGCAGTGGAAGGCTATTGAGGTATGTATTTCACCGTATCATCGAGAATCTTCTTAAGTTCGTCGACTTTAATATCCGATGCTTTAGCTTCAGATGTGATAGCTTTCTCAGGTTCATCAAAGAGTAACATGAACTCTTCATAAAGGTTGGGCAGAGGTATTACAACTAGACAAGGTTTAGGAAAGATTTCCTTGTTCTGACTTTCATTTGACTGAATTCGCTTTAGATAACTGACGTCAAACGTGACATAGTATTTCTCTTCTATCTTCTTGGAGAGTTTATTTAGAACCCTGTATGCCTTGGATGTTAGTGAATATCCCAAGTATATACCTTCATCAACTTTCACATCGAACTTGTTTCGTTGTTCTTTGGAATTGAAGATAAAACACCTGGAGCCAAAAACTTGGAAGAACTTAACGGTAGGTTTGCGATTATTTATGCTTTCATAAGGAGTTATTGAGAATCGCTTGTTTAGGATAGATTGATTTTGGGTAAAACAAGAAGTAGTTATCACATCAGCCCAGAAGTAGAGAAGCAGACATGCGAACGTTAGCATGGTTCGTGCAACTTAACATAAGGAACAATTTCATCTTTCAACTACGCGATTCTATTGTGGAGTATAAGGAGCAGAAAATTTGTGTGTGACTCCCTTTTCAGCAAGAATTTCTTCGAACACTTGGTTTTTGATTTCTAGCCCATTGTCGTTGCGAACCAGCTTTCGCATTTGAACATCGGTTTTCTTGATAAAGAACTTGAGCTTTGGCGTTGCTTCAGATTTCTACTTAAGAAAGAACACCCAAGTAAAACATGAAAAATCATCTACAATTACTTGAATGTACTTATTACCACCAACACTTTCAATAGCAGAAAGTCCGCAAAGGTAGATGTGTAGAAGTTCCAAAGGTTCGACAATTTTCGTGTTCACTATAGTAGGATGACTTTTCTACTTTGCTTTCCCATCTTGCAGACTGCACACAATTGATCTTTGTCGAATTTCAGAAGAGGAAGTCCTCTCACATGATCACCAAGAACAAGCTTGTTGATGTCTTTTAAATTTAAGTGCGAAAGACGTCTATGCCATAACCAACTTTCATATGAGTGAGCTTTTGTAAGCAAGCAAATGGCAGGCTTCCCTCGTATCGGGTTTAGATTAAGTGGATACATTTCACCCTTTCATTGTGACAAAAAAAAGAACAGTCTTGGATTTCTTTTCAATGATTTCTGATCCTTCATCATCAAATGAAACTTTCAATCCGGTTCCTACTACCAACTGTGAGACACTAATTAGGTTGTGTTGCAAACCTTCAACATAAGCCACTTTACGAATAGAAAATTCCCCATTCATTATCATGCCATATCCTTTTATTTTTCTAAAAGAATTATTCCTATATTTTACGCTTTCTCCATCCTTGATAGCCCTGAACTCTCACAGTTCCTCCTTTCTTCCTGTCATGTGATGTGAACAGCCACTGTCGATGTACCATTCAGTGTCGAACTATTTTTCACGAATAACCTGAAAAATTTAAGCATATTTTGGAACCCAATGTTTCTTGGATCCTTGTGAGTGTTTCACTGAACAAGGAAAATTAATATCAAGATTAACCAAATATGTTCATTTTATAAGAGTGGTTTCATCTTTTCGTTTAATGGTGAAAATTTTGATTTTGTTAACTTTTGAGTTAGGTTCTTTAGAATCAAAAGTTTTATTCTTATTGTCAGCTTAATTCTTGATGGACTCCTTTTTAACATTCTTATGATTTGCATTTGGCTTCTTCGTTGGAGTTTTCCGCTCTAAGGAACGCTTTCCCTTGCCTTTTTCGTTATTAGACGTAAATTTTATGGGTTGAGAGTGATTAGGCTTTGGTCTCTCATATTGTTGCTTTGATAAGAAGGGTTTTGTAGTCCCTTTTTGCTAAGAATTTTATTGACTATGAGAACAACATTGCAAACACCGATTGAAGTTTAATTGTGAAGAAGATTTCACATTGCGGTTTATTCTCCTTTAATCGCGAATATAATCTGGATTTTAGGATTGCTAAAATTGTTTCCTTTCACTAAGATTCCTTCTATATCTGTCATTCCTCTGTTGTTTTTGATCAGCAAGTTGCATTGATGACTCTTGGATGTTCACATTTGGATTCGCTTTTCTTACTTAAGGTTCGCTCTTTACGGGGTTTGGTTCACTGCAAACCTCCTTGGTACCACGTGGACTACCTTTTGCAAATGCTGAGTGATCATTTAAGGGTTCAGCCATATATCTTCCTTTAACTTTCCAGGAAGTTCTTTCTGATAAAACAACAGTTTCGTCAACATTATCTATGGATGCTGACCAGAAGTGTTCATCACACCCATCTTTGTTATCTTCGTCTACAATCGTATTTAGCTAGACTGTTTGATTTTCGGTTATTCCATTGACTTTGAAAAATTGATTGGGCGTTGTTTGAACTATTGGAAAAACAGTTGCTTTTATTTTTAAAATCTCATGTTTGTTTTGAACAACTCTTGCGAACTCAACATAATTTTCAAAAATAAGAGCTTTTGTAGGTTGTGATTCATTTTTGACAAACTCTGAGCAGTCAATCACATCCTCTACAAAAATATCACTCATATCACCATCCTTATTAAATTTAGAAGTACTTTCAAAATTTAATTTATTTTCTGAACTCTAGTTGGCATTCAATGAATCAAATTTTTGCACAATATCAAATTTGATATGCTTTTTATGATTTCCATCCAAAAGTTGTTTCAACATGCTCTTGTGGTCCTTAGACTCAATGAAATTTTCAATACATTCAAATCCGATTTGTATGCATCGGTGGTTTCTTGAGACCAAAGGATAGATTCGCACTTGTAACAGTTCGCATCTATTTCGTCTTTCTTTAATTCTAGAAATGGTAAAATCATTTTATGGATTTTCTTACCAATTTCACTATCAAGGTGCAGCTGAGTAATATTGAAGTAAAGCCTTTTTGCAATTAAACCAAAAATGTTTCGTTGTTTCAAAAGCATTAAATTATCTCTCAGCAAATAAATAGATTCATCCTTAGACATAGACAAATCTTACTCAACCTTCTTGATCCAGATACGCCTCTCCTAATCTCTTCCAGCTTTCGCTTGTGATTGGCCTCCTCATCCTCTACTCATTCTTGTCATTCTTCCTTCGCAACATACACTCCTTTTCTAAATGGTTTTTACCATGAAAATAATTGCAATCATATCCGGAGTCACCGACAACCTTTTTCTCTTTCTTCTCCTCTTCTTTCTAAGAATTGATTTTATTCTCCTCTTTCACTTTCTCTGAGTTATAGCTTCCCTACCCGTTCCTATTTTTGTTCGTCGGAAACTTCTTTCTAGCAAATCACTTAGGGTTAGACACCATAAAGCATAATCTTTGTTTGAAAGTTTGAGCTCAGAATGATCTGAGTAAGATCCGTCATCGGCAACAGTTTTTCCTTTTGCAACCAGGCCTAAAGATCCCATCCTAGACACCACCTTTGCCTCTTTCATTACTTCACTCTCTTGCGCCTTCAGAATTCCAACAAGCTTCGCAAGACTATAGTTTTTGAACTGTTTATGTGCTTTAACAGTTGACAACACTGCCTTCCTTTCCGATCTTAATCCGTTCATGAATGTAACTTTTTGCTCAATCACCTCATGTCTAATACCATGCTTCGTCATCTTACTGGGGATATATTTGTATCGATTGAAAGTGACGCTCATAGTTTTGTAAGGCTTTTGAACAAACTCACCAAACTTGGATAACAAGAGTGCTTGAGTCGAGTGTTCTAAATCTGTGTATGTGGAATAGAGCTCTCTAAACCTATCCCGTATGGCCTTCGCGGTATCACATGAACTTACAAGACGAAAGGTGTCTGCTTGCAAAGCGAATCTGATAATCCTCATTGCTTAAGAGCTTGTATTTTTCGTCTTGAGGAACATGTTTCATGTCAATACGCAATTGATTGTATTCTTTCTGGGTTTTGATTGTTCTCTTGGTTTTTGTGTGAACGAACATACCAAGAGTAATTGCTTCCCAAATCAGATAACCATTATCTTCTGAACCTATGTCGTAATCTTCAAAGTGAATTGGCCAGACTTCATATTCTTCAGGAAAAAGAATCGGGATTATTGTTATCGATGGTTCTTGAGATATTCAAAGAGTTGATGTTTGAATCGTCGTTTTGCATGGCGAAAAATCTTTTAATACCTGCAATTAATCAGACTGTGAACACTTATTAGTTTAATATCGAGATCACAGAGTTACGTCAATACATCGATGATGGCTCTTAACAGATCCAATATTTGCGGAAACCTGAATAATTTCTTCAAACATAAGAGATGTGTATTAAGTACACAGTCTCCCGATATGATACCAATTGAATGAATAACAAGAACACGATATAATCAAACAAGTGCTGAATGATTAATAGATTAAAGAAGGAAAAACACTAACATGATATAATCAAACAAGTGCTAAATGATTAATAATCATGCATCAGAAGAAGATGAAGAATTGCTTATGTAAAGGCAGAAAGTAGGGTTACTGAATAATACTCAAAACGTTAGTTAGAAACGTAGCATGCATGAACAATATATACTAACCCTAGCAGTAAATACGAGGGTATGGGACCAACTCATTTATACAAAATGGACTCAAAGGAATAGGCCCAATGACGCAAAACTTAATTTTCAACAGAACTCAAAGAATTGTGAAAATCCCCGTTGACTCGCCGAGTTTCTAGACAACTCGTCGGGTCCATGCAGTGTCCAAAATGTTAGGAAAACCCTAACCAACTCGTCGAGTCACCTAGCTAACTTGTCAAGTTAAAGCAGAATCCAAAAATGAGCAATCCTCATCCGACTGGTCGAGTTGACCATGCAACTCGTCGAGTCCCTTCAGTCCTCTTCTTATTCAAACTTTTTTAAGCAGAACCAAGGCTCCAAATTGTATGTCTAGCTTCCTTGGGCATAGTTACCATATAAACT